AAAGTTTCGTATGCAAAGTAAAACAAGGGAAAGGAGTCAAGCGTAGCGCCTTGCGTGTTTGTATAATGGGTTTTAGGTAATTTGACCTAACGGGCCTTTGGCATGGAAAACTTGGTTAAAATTAATTATACATTCGAATATTACGTATACGTCTTCGTGTAAAAGTATGACGAATATATTATCATTTTTCTTTTGCTTATAAAAGTCAAGGAAATAAGAACCAAAACTAAATCATGTAACTATAAGAAATATATGTATACCTTTATAATTTTAATTTAAGTTCTGATAAAGTTTTCTATCCCGGGTCAGCAGACCCAAGTTTGTTCTAATTTTTAAGGGCCTAATTTCTAACTACGCAATATTTAAGTAAATGTAGGTACTGCGATCTCGATAATATTATATTTCAAATACTTCCTTTGTTAAAGTCCATTTAGGTTAGAATCCCGGAGTTCATTAACCTTTTTTTTACTTTGTATTTTATTACTTTACTTACATAAAAGTAACGTTATCCTGCTATCCTTTAAAAATTTTTTTTGTTATCTTTTCTTAAAACGAAACTTTTTAATTCAAATTGGCACTAATTTGAAGTTCCACTTACTTATAAATTTAAGAATTTCATCAGGCTTTTGGAAATAATAAATGTGTACTTTTTAATGCACATTTTTGCAGATGCGCAGCAAGCAACATGCAACACGTTGCACCATTGCCATTTGTACAGCCGTAGCGCGATCCGTTTACTCCTTTTGTTTTTATCAGAACATAGATAATAGTCATCAATCGTATGTTCCCTTTTCAGTAATAACAAAGAGAGAATAAAACAAACTATTCGAAACTACAGATTTGATGTGGGTATAATGTGGGAAACTCGCCACCATTGGACAAGTTTTTGGAAAAGTAAACAGGTGCAAAACAAATGGATATCGGCCATATTTCACCCCGCGAACCACAATGGCTTCAACGCTTAAACCGAAAAGCCACAGAAAAGTTTCGTTGTGGGAAATCCAGTTACAAAATAAACGGGCTCGTTTTAAACAAACTCATTACAGAGGATTGGTTGCCAACAACTACGTAGTCTTTACGTAAAGGCAGATTGTGAAGGCACATAGTATATGTAATAATCGAAGGCTGACATTTATGCATTTTATTTCAAGTGTGGGAGAGCCATGCTTCGGTACGAATGGGTCGACTCGACCGAAGTAATATCACGGCTTCATAGAAAACCGGCGTGAAACAACCACAGCTTTGTGATTTTTCGTCTGAGTTTAGTTAGTTTAGGTTATCGGCGACCCAATCCTTCCCCTCCTCTCATTCCTTCCCAATCCTTAAATATCCGAAACCCTTATCCTCACTCGTAACCCCTTTGGTGTTGCGGGTGTCCATGGGCGGCGCTGATTGCTTACCTTCAGGTTATCCGTAGGCTCGCTTGCCGACCTATATATACCATAAAAAAAATTAATTCAGATTCAAGTATCAAGAATTAATCCTTGCATCAAACATTGGAATTCTATATACATATAATAACATGACGTCTCCCCTTCTCTCCACTTTATCAATTTCCACCAAAATTTCTAAGGGTAGAAGAGAGTATATGTCGTAGTCAATTGGATTAACGAGCCATTTAAGAGCCTAGCCGGTTTACACTTGGTACACTGTAAACCAGCTAGGCAGCTGTTAGTTTCTAACGGCGACTCGATTTCTTAGAGTTCTAACCTAACTTACTGTTCTGAAAGCAACTCTGTTTTCATGATAATCCCTTCACACTTCAAAAAACCATTCGAAGACTAGTCGATTCAAGCCGTTGATTGGTTAGCTAATAACATATTTGGCTGCAACATATACGAGTATATTGAAACACATTTCTCTCATTCTCATCTGCATCTCATTCACTTTGGTGAAAACGGGCCCATACAATTACTCAATACCTTGCATGACCAAGTAATCGACTAGTGTCAATTCACTCGGAGAAAGAGGCAGTATGATGTCTAAACTATGTAGTGCCTCATAGCTTATCTGACATAACAAAATTTCAATCCTTAAAGTGAAAAATCGACAGAGTATCACCAACTTTTCAACAGTATTGAATGAATTGCAATAATGCAGAAAAACGCCATTTATACGCCACTTAGAGGAAATTGAGCAAACTACTATAGCACTCCATTGCGCTCTTTTTTTTTGGCACTCTATAGTAGCGAAAATTGGACACGGGTAAGGGTTAATGACATAAATTAAAGCAAAGTTAAAAACAAATTTATATTTTGTGGCGTTTTCCCATAAAACATTACTTTCTCTTTCTCTATTCTTACTATAATATTTGAGGTTATATAAACATCAAAACAATGTCGGTTCAAAACTACGAATTTAAATAAGTACCTGTTGATTGTAATTTACGTTTATATTGTTATAATTTTTATTTTTCATTTCATTTAATCGAACGACTCTGATAATGTAGCTCTCCATTATACCAAAGCAAAAATATAAAAGTATGTACCTAAAATATTGAAAATAAAAACACAAATGTTTTATTTGATTTATGCTAATTAAGTATTATCAATTATCAATGTCAGCAAATGGCTTCACTAGGAGAAATGACCGACAGACTGACACTTTTTATCTTACAGTGTTTTATTTATATCTTTAGGAAAAGTGCCTGTAAGGGTCTCGGTCATAATTTATTTAATTTAAATAAATGATTATGACTTTTCCTTTACAGAAATTCGATCAAACATTGTGCAACAAGCCTTAGAAGGCATGAACTTATGTTGTCTATGTATTTCCGTTCCCGAAATGACAGAACCAAAATAATACTTAATCGCAACTTAAAATTGAGTTTCGTTCGAGTATTAAATTTTAAGACAGTTTTGACAAGTTATAAGGGCCACCTTAATTGGTTTATGAGTACGATTAAGTGTATTTATTTTCAAATTAATTACGACAACGAAGAACTCATTATCCGAAGATGTGCAAGCTATTTTGCTTTATTTAAATTTCAACCGCATTTTGGATTTCTTAGGAATTATTGTAATGTGATAAATCGTTCCAAAGTACTCTTTTAGGATATGAGAGTTCATATTTCATTATATACATATTATAGAGAGAAGATTATTATTAATTTTAGAGAATTGTTTTCGATATCTCATTAGCCACACACACGAATTAAAACCAATATTGAAATTACGCACGCCTTTATTTATGCGTCATTATCATTTTCATCTCATAATATATCATGGTAATTGCAACTAATAATTATTTGCCTTCCTTTTCATAGACGACTGTATTTTATTCATACGGTGCAGAGGCGGTAGCGCCAACGTAGTAACCTGTATTCCTTCGTAATCCCCTATTTTGATAATATCTTCGAGCACGGTCTGAGAAACAAATTGAATTAATTATTAAAAACTTCAAACAAACCTACCAATGCGATCTCGAAGAACATCATCGACTATACGATTGACACAATGGATTGAGAACTGGCTGCGCGAATAACAGATCTTTTTTTTAATGTCATAGGTCGGCAAACTAGCAGACGGATTACCTGATGGTAAGCAATCAGCGCCGCCCATGGACACCCTCAACAACAAAGGAGTTACGAGTGCGTTGCCGACCTTTTGGGATTGATTAGGGATTTGGGGATTTAGGACTTGGGGAAGGATTGGAGGAGAGGAAGCATTGGGCCTCCGGTAACCTCACTCACACGGCGAAACACAATGCTGTGTTGTTTCACGCCGTTGTTCTGTGAGACCGTGGTATCACTCCGGTTGAGCCGACCCATTCGTGCCGAAGCATGGCTCTCCCACTCTTAGGTCCCATTTACGCAAAATGCGCGTGTCGTGCTTTCGTGGTACATTGTAGCAGTAGATCATGCAGTTGCTTGTGCAAAAACAAACGTATAAACATAATGAGCAATGCACAACACGCCACGTCTGCGTTAATGAGGCCTAAGTGTGATCCACAAATTGATGTTTGCCTAGTCCCAGTTCGTAAGTATATTTGTAAACGGACCCACGACACCGAAGACAACAATGGTGTAAAACGTTTTCACTACCAAAAGTTTAACATGTTTTAAAAAAAATGTTCATCTAGTCACTCAAATATATTAAAAATAATTTTAAACGCAACATTACCTTTCACCAAGTATACCTATAGTTCAGCAGTATTTAAAGCATGTTCTGAACAGAAACAAATGAACATATTTGTTAAAATATGATACGTGAATTCCATTAGATACCTCCCTCAACCAATAAATTAAAAAGATGCTGTTAACAATCTTAACTAATGTCATACTCACTACCCATGGCTTGCCTGAGTCTTCTTTGGGGCATATTTTCTTTGACAACAAAACCTTTATAACGACGAGGCTTTCGTTTCCCTTGATTATCTTTTTTTGACGTCAAAGAAGACAAAGAGAGTATTTTCGAAATCCTTAATATAAAAAGCACGTTAATGTTTTTAGAGATAAATCTAAATATAATTTGCAAATACTAAATTATCAGGTATATCTTATTGGGAGTCGACAGTAGGCTATAGGAAATTACTATAAAGAAAAAAGGGAAAATAATTCAATCGACCCCACTCTCTCAATAATATAGATGCAGAACCCGTCTAATAATCTACATTCAAACGAAAATCGCCATCTTTAATAGCCTTTTCAAAACAATCAATATATAATCCCATCACATATGTTGTAATCTTTGATGGTTTATATGTGTGCTCAGGTGTCAGCTTACCACTAGTCGAATAACATTATAAAAACATACTTTGCTATCAAACCACCCACATTTTCAAATGGCTATGTTATTGAGATTCGAATCATACCAAACTACAGCCGTGCAATAATGTCGTATGAAAACTTTTAAACTTTCGCGATTCCCTTGGAAGACTGCTTGAGTCGAAACGTAAAAGCCTTCCAAGGTATTACTTTTTGCGATAGCATAATTACTTTTCCCGTTAATACCCGCGTATTATATTATATGTCGTATCACAGATTTAACACCGATATTAACTTACAGTTCATTAAATGCATTCTTATTCTTGCTCTTTTCAACGGCAAGTGGATTCAATACCACATATATTTTCGAATAATTATTATCTAACCCGCTTACTTCATTGTCATTTCTGGAATTTACTTCGTTTACCGACAGGGTCGGCGATAAGCTATTTGGTTTGACTCTCTTCTTTGTATAATCAAGCCTTGGTTTCGTTTTACTTTCTTCATTCAAGTCTTGAGAAAGTAGTTTCGCTAATATCTGCGTACGTATGTTATTATCAAATGTATCACTAAGTTTTTCATTTTGATTTAACTGGTTTAACTCATCTCTGTCTGGTTTTTCTTTGTGATATGTTGCACTGTCATCATTTTCAACTTTATTTCTATGTTCTTTAGCAGCTTTTTCTATTAAATCAATTATTCTTTCCTTTTCCAATATTTCATCGCGATTATTAGTCGAGTGATCACTTTCAGTGAAATATTCCTCTGACTTGTCATCAGTAGTGGAAGACGAATCAGAAGACTCTTTAAGCTGCTGTATAAAGTTTAAAACTGAATTTAAATCTACGGCGTTATTATTGGCGCTTCCTAGTGTTTTTAGGGGTCCAATAATCGATATTGCAACTGCAAAACAAAAAAATATTACGGGCAAAAGTAATCAGAAGAGAAATTTTGGTGTAACGGGTAAATAACACATAAATTTTACTTACCTATGAAAAGTATTTGTAGTCTTGACATTATCAACAGAGCTCAGTCGAAAACATCAAGAAAACTGCCACTGAGTTGTTATCAAACATATGAACTACCTACATAAATAAAATACGACAATTTTATATTTTCAATTGTTCTTATCGTGTAACATAACTCATAATATATACAGATTATAAAACCTGCCATGTATCCTGTAAAAAATGCTTCGTTCTTTAACAGTAATCTAATTGACTTCATCTTTAAGCTTTGTTTTTTTTTATTTTATTATAGCATAGGTTGGCAACCAAGCAGGCGGATTACCTGATGCTAATCAATCGGCGCCGCCCATCGATGCTCGTCTACCAAAGAAGTTAGTACAAGGGAATTGCCGGACTCTAGTGGCTAGTAAAAAGAATTTTTTTTACTAGGGCTTTAAGGATTTTTGATTTTTATGTTTAAGGATGGGGGTGAAGAATTTGGCCTACGATAACCTCTCTCACACTGCGAAACACAACGTAAGTGCTGGTTCACGCCGGTTTCCTGTGACGCCGTGGTACCTCTTCGGTCGAGTACGCCCATTCCTGTTTTTTTTCTAATACATAATAATAATTCAACAACGTTTTCTCTACTTGATATATTAAGGTGAGTCTTAACATGAAATTTGAAAAGGCATAAACTTAAATTAGTTTCTTTCATTTCACAGCATTGTGTCCGTTGACATGTAATTCTATTGCACACGAGATAACATTTCGTATCTCTTAATGGAACGTTCTGTAATAAAGGGCACGTTCTTTAGTGAGTTGAGAATTAATTTAATGGAAAATTATAAAATACTATCTACTCTCATGCGGTTTCACCCACGGCTCGGCGTCATTTGATCGTAGCGTGATATTTTATAGTCTATAGCCATCGATCACTAATAAAGAACTAGATACACAATCCCATACAAAAATTCGCTTCAAAACTGTCGCCAACTGTATTTAGGTACTTATACTTGAAATAAACATGCATTAATGTAAATTAAACCTTAAATGCAACTCATAGAGTTGTTTTTACAAAGTCATGTACAAAATCTTAATACTTTTTGCGACCGAAGCTCTTGACAAACATAAATCAAGAAATTGAACCATATTCGCATGTTCTTAAGTCGAATTTACAAAGTGTCAAAAATAAGCAATAAAATTTAACGACTTTGGATCACCGCTAGGACAAAGAATGATTGAAGTCGAAATGTCTCGTAAGAAATATATTTCTTTCGTATTTTATAATTTATCAAAAAAAGAAAATACGCAAATTAAAACGCACTACTTATAGTATTCTTTTCTATAGGTTTGTTCATTTATTTACCAATGAAACTAATGCATATAGTTATAATTCTTTTTTATTATTTTCGTCCTCCTTAATCCTTTCTATTCGAAGTCAAATAAAAAATATGTAAAATAATAAAAAGAATATATATCTAAAGTAAGTATTGAAAATGTTGGCGTTATTGTTGTAAATTTTTCATATCGCACGGGACTTGATGAAAGCTAAAAAAAAAAATTTCTTTACTGCAGTTAAAATTAAATCCATTACATCTGCCTATTCCATATTTTAATAAACACAGTAAAGAAGTATAATATTAAATAAAAACTATTTTTTAATAAAAAAAAACAATAAATAAAAGTAGAAACAATAGCGTCTCCACTAAACGGAACAGAATCAATCCACGTAAACCGAACAACTTAAGTGGTCATGCTAGAGAATGATTTTAAGTTTAGTATAAGTGTCTTTATAAACTGTGTGCATTATAACCCCGGTTTTTGAATACGATTTCATTTGGAAAAAGTTTTAAAGTTGATTTCTTAATAAAATATCAATATTTAAAATAGAATGATGACAATTATATAATGATAATATTATTACTTAACGAAAATATGAAATTCCATCCTTTTTTGCATCTTAGATGTGTGTTTTTTGCAGTTTTTTAACGAGCACTGAGACGTGTTTACCGTCGGAGCATTCGAGTGGTACTAAACTAAAACTACACCGCGATGTTGAGTTTGGTGGACTTTCAGTTAGGACATTTTTTTGTCACTGATTGTGTATCTAGTTCTTTATTAGTGATCGATGTCTATAGCACTCAGGAACATCAAGGGGTTCCAAAGATTACCCTACATACAAACTTACAAACTTACAAACATACAAATTTTACCTCTTTATAATATTAGTATAGATAAGCAACAAGACTCTGCTCTTGGCTTCGCCCGTGTGTTATGTTAAACTTCATCTAATTCGGTCCAGCCATTTTTACGTGAAAAACAACAAACATACATCTATACATTCTCACAAACTTTTACATTTATAATATAAATAGGAATGAACATGTGCTTTAACCCACGCTTCATCATCTTATAAGGATTCTTATCCTTATGTCTCACTAATGACCGAATACATCTTCTCACACAGATCTCACAATGATCACCAGTCTACCCCAAAGCGGATTGGCAAATTCAGTTACGTCGACATATTTGAATGGTGATACTGAATTAGCTTCAAAATGAATTTGATCATAGAATGTTTCGCAGTGAAAAAAAACATAAAAAAATTGAATACTTAAACAGAAAAATTAATAAAAAAATCTACCATCGTAGACGTCACCAAAGGTAGGTTTATGTAATTGTCGTAAAAAATACGACTGACTGTGACATAAAAACAAAGGAGACAGTTCGTAAATATTTTTATTGCTGAGCTAATGATTACATTTATTAGTTAACAATTTCATCTGCACAATCATAGTCACAGGATTTTTCATGCTACAAAGGGTTTTATTTGTCTTCAATATTTAGGAAACTATTTTTAGACCAGGCTTCACATTTTTGCCACCATAGTCCCAACTATATATTAGGCTATCAATAATCTTACATTTTTAACATTACGAAGATCTGAGATTCTCGGGCCTGTCTTCTATCAGATTCGGCCATTATTTCATCACACTTTAAAAAAAAAAACAAAATATGCACGAGATAGTTTACAAAATGTAATAAGTATTCTTTTATTGATTAATTTGAAACAGGCCTTTGTGTTTGTAAGTAACTGAAAAGGATTATGAGACTAAATTTCAAACTATTGCAAAAATCTATATGACGGAACGTCCTCTGTGGTCAGGTTGACATGTGCATTCCTATCATCATCCATCGTTGCAGAATTCAAAAATAAGGCTCCAGATAATTGTACAGCACACGTATATTCAATTACCAATCTTAAATTATTTAAATAACAAATCACACCGCAGATCTAATCGGATTGACAGGTTCTTCAGCTTAGCATTTGAAAAGTGACCGTCCATAGATGCGCGAACGAACGCACCACCCATAGCTGAATGATTGAGTAGTGAGTGAAGTCGCTGTCATACCGACAGTTACTATAATACTAGTCTGAATAAAACCTTACAGGGCCATCTATTTTGAATACTTATAAACTAAAATTAGTTCAACGTGTTGTTAAGAGATGACGTAGTGAGCGTTTTGTTATTAACACTGCGACACGGCCGTCCTGCGCCTCACACGTCCTCGTGTGGCTCATCTGAAAAGGAGTAATAATCCAGTGTACATTTCTTTGCTCGGTCATGCCTGACCCTAATTATGTCACGGTTACTGAATAGAATTCAAATTCAAAGTAAATCTTTTGTTTATTCTGATTGACTATTTAGTAATCAATTCTTATTACATGATTTTAACTTCCTCTTTCTTATAACAAGTCTAATGGCATAATCAACTACACACTACACAGTCACTTAGCCAGTGATCTGTCTTCGCCACTTCCCCAGCAGCGGTATCGTAGCCACTTAACCAGCGACACGATTGAATATTCATCTGCCGCTTAACCAGCAACAGGATACTCTAATCACTTAACCAGCGATTGAGTTTACTTCATTTTTTTTATATCATCGCTTAACCAGCGGCTTCGCTTAACCAGCGGCATCGCTTAACCAGCGGCTTCGCTTAACCAGCGGCATCGCTTAACCAGCGGCATCGCTTAACCAGCGGCATCGCTTAACCAGCGGCATCGCTTAACCAGCGGCTCATAACATATCATTTTCAGTTGCACACCGCGCACTCACTACGGCAAAACCGGAGCTACGGCTACAAACTGATACATGACAAATAAAAATCATTTTCTTTTTTTTTATGCCATGAGACACGTAATAATCAATTACATCACTGTATCTTTAACCATTATTTATAAACAATACTTTACACACAATAGAAAATCAACAAAAATCTTAATTATTTTAAAAGCCTTAGTCACTAACATTTTCAGTCTCACTTTCATGATCCTCGGATGAATTAGGTATGATTTCACTATTGGCATTTTACGCAGCCTATCATGGGCGTATTTGTATGTCCGGTTATTATTAAGTGCCTTCAGTACATACCTATCACTGTCTAAGATTTCTTTTACACGAAATGGTCCCTTGAATTTGGGATCGAGCTTAGTCTGATTACGCTCTTCACTTTGTAAAAGTACGTAATCACCTACCGAGTATCTTTTAAGCTTGGTCTTTGTGCTGTCAAATCGGGATTTTTCGACTTCCGTCTCTATACAAAACCTCGAAGTCGAATGCTTGTAAGAAAGCCCACCACCTATGGACACGTGGGGTCAAATCTGCCTTTTTATGAGAAGATCTCAAAGAGTTACAGTCCGTAACTACTGTGAATTTGTTTCCACGCAGGTAAGGCCTGAAATGTTTTACAGCATTCACAACCGCTAAAGTCTCTAACTCATATGAGTGATATTTTGACTCGGCGGTTGTAGTGCGTTTACTAAAATAGGCAACTACATGCTGAAGAAATTCATCCGGAAGAACATGAAACAAGACTTCGAGCACAACATCGTCAACATCAACAACAGCTAGTATTTGCAATGTACTGTAAACGCTTATTTGACCAATACCAGTCATTTTAACAGTCTTATTATATCTTGTTCCTTGAAACATCGACGATATTGACTCTTTCACAAGTGAGCACTCGGGTCCTGAATCAAACGATATGAAAACGACTCACCAA